TCCAGCTTAACCAATAAGGCAGTAAAGCCCCAAGTGCCAAAACAACTCTATCTCAGGCCAGCCATAAACTTCTGTGCTTCTATATTATCTCTGTTTGCAAAATATTAATGCAGGCTTACTCCCTAAGGACAATTAAGATCAACCCTGTGCTTCTACGCTGGGCACCTTTAAAAATCAATCAAAAACATGGCTGTTTATTCGGGCCTTTCCTCCAGTCAATACTTGATCTTTTTGTTTTCTCTATTTGTCTTACTTTATTTTTCTTGTTTTATAAATTATCATGGAACTTATTTACGTAATAATTTTGTGATATTTTTATTTGCTGATTTATGTTGTATTGGAAGTTGCCTAGAGTGGTCGCAAGACCACATAGGTGGGGTACAAATGAAATAAATAAATAAAATATTAATACAGGCTTACTCCCTAAGGACAATTAAGATCAACCATGTGCTTCCAAGGAGTTTTTTTTTTAAACCACCCCAATCTAAGCAGCTTCTTTCTTAAGAAACCTCCAACCTTCGGGAGGGAGCGGCCACTTTAAGGCGACTCAAGCCATTAACTCTCTAATGGGTCGAAACGCAAAAACCAGTTGATAAGTCATCCTTTTACTATTGGCACAGCCCAAACGAGAGGGGACGAGAAAAATGTTTAAATTAGATTTTTTTTAAAATTAAAAGAAAACGGGACTTAGTGTCATTTGGGAGATCTACATTTTTGGGGGGGGGGCTGGCTGGCTGGTTGGGGCGTCCCCTTTGCAAACCTGCGGACGGGGAAGGGAGCGCGGCAGGGCGCAACAGCTGACTCGGGGTGGGGCAAAGCCGGGCACCCGAGACGGATCGGGTCGGGATCGTGACTCCGAAGTAGATTCTCTCTCTCTCTCTCTCTCTCTCCCACGTTTCCTGCCCTGAGGCTGGGAAGGCTTTCTCTCCCGGCCGGGCAAGGGGCGGCTCAAACGGGAGCGCGCAGGAGGGAGGAGAGAAAGAGAGAGAGAAAGAGGCGGCGGGACGGCCCCGATCTGCCGGAAGAAGGGCGCTTTTTGAGCGGCGCGGCGGCGCGGATCCGCCGATGTCCGGCGGGCTGGGCGATGGGGCCAGCTGAGGACGGCGCCCTCCGGGGACCAGCCTCCTCCTCCTAAGTAGACCGATCCCGGGGGACCGGCTGGAAACCTCGCTTGGCTCGTTGCGCTGCGCTTCGGGCCACTTTTCGGAGCGCCCGTCTTCAGGGAGCGCCTCAAATGTCACGAGGTGGAGTTGGAAAGGACCAACAAGTTCATCAAGGAGCTCATCAAGGACGGCAGCCTCCTCATCGGGGCGCTCCGTGGGGGGGGCTGGCTGGCTGGTTGGGGCGTCCCCTTTGCAAACCTGCGGACGGGGAAGGGAGCGCGGCAGGGCGCAAAAGCTGACTCGGGGTGGGGCAAAGCCGGGCACCCGAGACGGATCGGGTCGGGATCGTGTGAGTTTTTTTTTTTAAAGGGGGGGGTTCTTGGAAGCGAAAGGGGAGCGAGATTTGGGTCGGCGTTTTGGGGAGGAAGGAGCTGCTGCTCTTTTGTCTGAACGGTTCCGACGGGGAGGGCGCCCCTGGTGGAAGCCGAGACGTTTCCTCGACAGGCCGTTCCTTGGCTTCGGGGCTGGGACACAAAAAAGTTAGGCTTGAGGGGGGAGGAGAGGAGAAGTCTCTCTTTTTTTTGAGGAGAAAAATACCGAGCTTTGGCGACGTTGCAGGAAACTCCATTGATTTCTAGGCTGCCAGGGCATCTCTCTCCTTTCCTGTCATCAGCTCAGGGCATGGTAAATAGGGTCTCTCTCTCTCCCTCGCTACTTTATCCCTGCGACAGCCTTGGGAGGTAGGGCAGGCTGAGAGAAAGGCCCTGAACGGGGGCAGACTCGTGGCCAAATAGGATATGTGCTTATTTAAAATATTTCTGACCTGCTTTTCTCACCAAAAAGGTCCCAAGATGGCTGGCGTCGTTAAAACAGCATTTAAAAGCTTAACAACAGTAAGGAGAGAGAGAATTAAACAAGTGTTATAATAAAATGGTAACTAAGATGAATTTTAAAGCACATTTAAAACAACAAAGCACAACAGTCCGTTTAAAAAAAAACCCTTCAGTCATTAGTTCCTACTAGAGAAGGCCCAGTGGATCAGCAAGACTTACATTGGTAAAAATTTAACAAGTACTTTTCATTCTTTCTAAAGAACTAGTAATAAATAAAGGATAAATTCAGAATCATTCCAGCTGGGATGGCTGATTGGATTTAGCCTGGGGGTGTCAGTACTACTTTGTGTGATTTTTGCTGCACAGGCAAACACAAGGATCTCTTTGATAATTCTGTGCACGTTTTTTTTGAGTCATTTTGTTGTTTATATTGCTCCATCCATGTACATGGTACTGTGCAGAATAACAGGTCTCCACTTGTCGTTAAAACAGCATTTAAAAGCTTAACAACAGTAAGGAGAGAGAGAATTAAACAAGTGTTATAATAAAATGGTAACTAAGATGAATTTTAAAGCACATTTAAAACAACAAAGCACAACAGTCCATTTTAAAAAAAACACCCTTCAGTCATTAGTTCCTACTAGAGAAGGCCCAGTGGATCAGCAAGACTTACATTGGTAAAAATTTAACAAGTACTTTTCATTCTTTCTAAAGAACTAGTAATAAATAAAGGATAAATTCAGAATCATTCCAGCTGGGATGGCTGATTGGATTTAGCCTGGGGGTGTCAGTACTACTTTGTGTGATTTTTGCTGCACAGGCAAACACAAGGATCTCTTTGATAATTCTGTGCACGTTTTTTTTGAGTCATTTTGTTGTTTATATTGCTCCATCCATGTACATGATACCGTACAGAATAACAGGTCTCCGGTCCCTAGGAGTTCACAGTCACACGTCCTGGATGGCTGGGCCCTATCTTTCATGCAGGTGTGGATTGTATTGTACTTTGGTCAAGGAGGGTTACTCACTGGGAATTACAGTGGTGCCTCGCTTAACGAGCGCACCGTATAACGATTAAATCGCATAGCGATCCGTTTTTTCGCTTACCGATCTTCGCAAAACGACCCCCGCCGATCAGCTGTTCGGTGGCCAAAATGGCCGCCGGAAGCCGGGAAATGGCCTAAAATGGCCGCGCGCAGCGTTTTCGCACCCTCGTTAAGCGAGGCGAGGGCGCGAAAATGGCTGCCGGCCATTAGAAAGCTTTGTTGAACGGTGAGTATTTGGCTCATTTGGAACGCATTAAACCATGTTTAATGCGTTCCAATTGAAATCCCTGCCCCGTTCAACGATGCTTCAGCATAGCGAAGGTTAATCCGGAACGGATTAACCTCTCTATGCGAGGCACCACTGTATATTGCAAAAATTAGAGCCTCATGGTCTTTCCCATAACACTATTTTTAGCATTTTAATTCATTCTATTATTCACTATAATATGTGTTTCTCGTTCCTATTATGTTCTTTGGATAATAGATAAAACAGTGGCTGAAAGCCTGTTGCTTAGTGTAAGGTAAAGCAAAGTGTGTTGCTTATATACTGTTCCATAGTATCTAAAGCTCTCTCTGTGTGGTTTACATATTAATTATGCAGGCTACACATCCCGCCCCCCAGCAATTTTCCAACCTCAGAGGATGAAAGGCTGAGTCAACTGTGAGCTGGCTATCTCAGGCTGGGATAGGTGAGATCATGAGGAGAGTCTTCACTGCAGTACTGCAGTTTAACTATTGCACCAGGAGGCTCCTAATGACCCACTGAATCAATGGGGATTTGGTGAGTCAGCTTGTCTGTAAGTTTCATCTATTCAACGGGCCTATTCTAGTTGCAACACTGTGCTAAAGTAAGTTGCAGATAGAGTAAGCTCATTTGAATCAATGGAGTGTGTGAAGGAGTTGACTAAATCCCCCCTGGTTCCATGGGCCTATTCTAGTGTGATTCCAACACATACCCCAATAAAAAACACTCTTAAAAATGTACAGGGAAGAATTTACCAAATCATTGGTAAAACATACTTTAACATATTATAAAAGTAACTGCAGAGTGAAAGCCTTCCAAATTATGTCTCTTCTATGGATGTTTAATTTGGGAACACATCCTGCAAATTTACCTGGGCTTCCTATTAAGGTAACAAGGGCACAGGTTTTCTAAGACTCTCATATTTGCAAAGGCATCAGAAAGATATATTTGTCCCAAACTTGTGACAGCTGCTTCTTTGGACTACAGTGGTAACTAGCCATTCTGGGGTGTGCATGCATCCATCCATCTGTGCGTCTGTCTGTCCGTGTTCCTGGAAGTGATATTTGAAAAAGTAACCTTTCCAAACACTAGATCGCTCAGTAGATCCCTACTGTAAGTACATGATGGGTCACACCCATCTGATCTTCTGTAATGGCATAAAGCCCTTAAATACATTTACTAAGAACTGTTTCCCTGAAAGCATTTTAGGAATTAGGTTCAAATCTCAGAAGTGGTGTTAGCTTTCATTTTCTCCTGTGTTTTCAACCTGGGCTATTGCAAAGTCTGGGGAAACACCTGGAGTGTTTTGTTTCTGATGCTGATCAGTTTAGAAGTGGCGGGAAATCAGTCTGTTTGTTGACCTATTATTGCTGTGTTCTGAGTGGCAATAAGAGCAGTTCTTGAGGATTCAGGCAAAGAGCCTTTTCTTATGGCTTGGTACCACTTTCTTTTAGTTGCAGATGACAAATATTGGATTTGTGAATTTATGACAGCAGTGAATACACATAATCACTGAGATATCACCCTTCCCCAAATAGATATTTCATTTATTTTCTTTGCACATATCCCTTTTTTCTATAGTAAGCTTAGACCACCATGTCTGAGCTTATCTTGATTTGTCTTGACAATAAATGAGGCTTGGAAAAGTTGCTCTTTTAAATGAAGGCTTTTAGAATTTCCCCAAGCTATGGCCAGCTGACTGGGACATTTTGGAAGAGTGTAAACACCCAAAAATTACATTTGCAAGGTTTGGGGTAGGTTGAACGAGGATGGACCTAAAGTCCCTACTATGGCTCTTCTGGCCACGAAGTCAGAATCACATCCAGCATATGGTGCAGGTAAATAATCAGTTTATTTGGGGTGAAAGGGGTGGAGAATGGCACAGTATTTAGCAGCTTTGTATTGATACTTAGCAAACATGTTTGACAATGAGATTTCTGTGAATTTTGATCTAAAAGGCACTCGTACACTGGAAGAAGATGGTGCCTGGCTTTTATGCCTATGGCATGACCCTAGTAATTTATTTCATTCTTAAATAACAGGTAGACAGCTGAGGTTGGGGACCAAAATAGAAGCAAAGTTTTGGAATGATTCTGTTTGTTGTGTGTATAGTTCTTGAGTTTGCAAGTGATTCGGGAGGAGTCTATTCATATCGTTTTAACCCCCATAACTTTTGACATTGGCACAAATATGTTTAGCAAGCTTGGAAATGAACAGGAAACTTGGTTTTGACCCTAGAATATGCCTAGAGCTGCACATCATGAATGCGATTCCTTCCAAGTTCCTTTTTAACTTCTTGTGATGTGATCTGTGTGACTCCAGTTTCGCCAGCAGAAGGAGCAGATTTTTCTGATTTAGAAACCGTTTTGACTTCATGGCCCATTTCATTGCTCTTTTCCATTCCCTTAATTTTCTTCCTTTATTTTCCCATCTTTTTTCTTCTTTTTACTGGTCTTTTTCTCCATCTTCTCTGGTACCCATTCAGCCTTTTCATTCATTCATTTCCCTCTGCTTCTCTTTTCCACACTAGTTCCAACACAGAACCAGTGTGGTGTGGTAGGTAGTCAGACTAGGACTAGTGGATTGAGTATCAAATTAGGAGCTGAGTTCAAATCCCCTCTGGGCAGTGAAAAATCACTGGGGGAACTGCAGTTGTAAAGCCCATCTTGAATATCTTACAGAGCTCTATTAGAATTGCCATGTCAGATGTGACGTGAGAGCACATTAACAACAACATCCTATGTTCATTTAGCCCTTTTCTCTGTTCACTCTCCCTCCTCTCCCCTCTTCAGCCCTTTTGCCAAGTGGCAGGCAGGAAGGCATTATTCTCTGTCTGAATAACTGACCAGCTACTGTGTTATGCTGCTTGAATCAATCTATTTCTTTGTCACAGTCAAAAATAACTGAGACTGAATTGAATCCCCAACTTCATCATCCTATTCACAGGCTATGAAGTGTGTTTGTGTATGTGCATTTGTGCACGGAGTGTGAAATTTGGTGGTTTCCATTAGTAACATAAGAAAAGACCAAGGTTTTTAGTCTTGCTGCCTCCAGCATTCAGAACATTCCAGGCTGAGAGCTGGATGCGTTCATTTTGCTTTCTTGTCTCATTCCGATTTGGCTGCATTGTGCATCACCCTTAAGCCAAATTGGAGTGAAGGCAGGAGGCAAGGGTAATGCTTGCTGCCCTCACTCAGGTAGCTTCTGATTAGACAGTGTTGAAGAAAAGTTCCTCTTCATTTACTAGTTAGTATCGTAACTTGAATTAATGAGCTTACATACATTTATGGGTTTATTGGTCAAAAGGTTAATGCACATGATGTACCTCAAAAACCAAGAAGTTTCAACTTAAAAACTGTTTAGGACTTACAGTGGTGCCTTGCTTAATGATGATAATCCGTTCCAGGAAAGTTAAGCGAAAACATCGTAAAGCGAAAATAAAAACCCAATTGAAACGCATTGAAACCCGGGGTAAAAACTCACAGTCCAGCGAAGATCCTCCATACGGCGGCCATTTTCGCTGCCTGTATAGCGAGGAATCCATCCCTAAACACAGTGAGGAGCCATTTTAATTACCCGGCGGCCATTTTGAAACTGCCGATCAGCTGTTCTAAAAACATCGTTTTGCGAAGAATCTGTTTCC